ACCACTAGGTGAATATGAACTTGAATCAGCAGCCCAATTCTCTCAGGGACTCATGACTATAAGCCAGAAGGGAGTGTCAGAATTCTGACTCCTCAAACGAATTGTTTTCTGTAGTAATTTCCTGCTATTCTAACTAAAGCACATATGTATGTGATAATTAATGGCAAGGAAGGCAAAGCTATACTATTTTTGAGCTGGTAAGAATGTGGAGAAAGGAGAAGCTTTACACTTTGTCCCTGAAGATGTAAATTGTTATGGTCATTATGAAAAACCAGTGAGAAGTTCCTCCAAATATTAAAAAATAGAACTATAATATGATTTAAAATCTCACGTCTGACTAGGTATCCAAACGAATTGAAATCAAGATCTCATGGAGATGCCTGCGTGCCCATGTTCACTGCTACATTGTTTACACTAGCTAAGATATGAAAACAACCTAGGTTTTCATCAGTAAACACACTGATAAAGAAACGTGTTATATACATTTCATGAAATGTTATTCCTCCATAAAAAAAGAAGCTAATCCTGCCATTCTGAAAACATGAATAAACTAGGACATCATGCTAAGTGAAAAACAGTCAGACACAGAAAGACAAACACTGCATAATCTTACACATAAGTGGAAAGAAAAATAATTGGGCCCAGTGTGGCAGTTTATGCTTGTAATCCCAGTACTTTTAGAGGCTGAGGTGTGTGGATCACCAGAAGTCAGGAGTTCAAGACCAGTCTGGCCAACAGGGTGAAACCCCATCCCTACTAAAAAATTCAAAAATAAGCCAGGTGTGGTGGTTACTTGGGAGGCTGAGGCAGGAGAATCACTTGAACCCCCGTGAACTCGGGAGGTGGAGGTTGCAGTGAGCGAGGATTATGCCATTGATCTTACTGCCAGACTGGGCAACAAGAGGGAGACTCCATAGAAATAAGGAAAGAAAGAAAGAGAGAGAGAGAGGAGAGAGAAAGAAAAAGAAAGAAAGAAAGAAAGAAGAAAGAAAGAAAGAAAGAAAGAAAGAAAGAAAGAAAGAAAGAAAGAAAGAAAGGAAGAAAAGAAAGAGAAAGAAAGAAAGAAAGAAAGAAAGAAAGAAAGAAAGAAAGAAAGAAAGAAAGAAAGAAAGAAAGAAAGAAAGAAGAGGGAGGAAAAGCTTACAGAAGCAGAAAATTAGAATGGTGGTTACCTGGTGCTAAGAGGCAGAATTGGGGAAATGTTGATCAAGGGGTATGAAGTTTCAGTTATGCAAGCAGAATATGTTCTGGAGATTGAATGTATCACATAGTGATTATAGTGAGTGATACTATTTTGTAAACTTGGAATCTACTAAGAGGATACACCTTGAGTGTTCTTACCACACACACACACACACACACACACACATTTATGATTATGTGAGTCAATGGATATGTTTTTTTGTTTTGTTTTGCTTTTTTTTTTTTTTTTTTTTTGAGATGGAGTTTCACTCTTGTCACCCAGGCTGCAGAGCAATGGCGTGATCTCGGCTCACCGCAACCTCCGCCTCCTGGGTTCAGGCAATTCCCCTGCCTCAGCCTCCTGAGTAGCTGGGATTACAGGCATGCACCACCATGCCCAGCTATTTTTTTTTTAATATTTAACTTAGTTTTCTTATAGACGAAATACAGTTGGGTTTAGCTATTTTTATCCAATCCAACATTCTCTGCCTTTTAGTTGCTTTTTAGACCACTTATGTTTTAGTTCATTACTGACACGTTTGGGTTTAAATATATCATCTAACTATTACTTTTCTTTTTTTGGGGGCGGGGGAGGGGAAAGAAAAAAAAGAAGTGAATAAGGAGTAGTCTTCTTTCCGCAGCTAATTTTTTGTATTTTTAGTAGAGACGGGGTTTCACCATGTTGACCAGGATGGTCTTGATCTTTTGACCTCGTGATCCACCCGCCTCGGCATCCACCTGCCTTGGCCTCCCAAAGTGCTGGGATTACAGGCGTGAGCCACCATGCCCAGGCAAGTCAATGGATATGTTAATTAGCTTTACTGTGTGGTTATTTTATAATATATGCATTTATCATAACATCACCTTTTATACCTTAAAAATACCTAGTTTGTGAGACATATCTGAATAAAACTCTGATAGGGTATGTATCTGTGTTCCTGCCCAAATCTCATGTCCAACTGTAATTCCCATGTTTGGAAGTGGGTCCTGATGGGAGGTGATTGGATCGTGGGAGTGGATCCTTCATGAATGATATAGCACCATCCTTTTGGTGCTGTTATCCTGATAGAGTTCTGGTGAGATCTGGCTGAATGTCAGTGGTACCTCCCCACTCTCTCTCTTCCTCCTGTTCTGGCCATGTAAGACATGCCTGCTTCCCCCTTACCTTCCTCCATAATTGTAAGTTTCCTGAGGTCTCCTCAGAAGCTAAGCAGATATATCATGCTTTCTGAACAGCCTGTGGAACCATGAGCCAATTAAACCTCTTTTCTTTATAAATAACCCAGCTTCCGGCATTTCTTTACAGCAATTCAAGAATGGACTAGTGTAAACTCAGTCAGATAATCTACAACTGAAAGAACATGTGCAGATCCATTGGAAGGTCATTTTTCCAACTTTTTCCTGAAGAACAAAGATTTCCTTGGAAGGGCTAAGTCTGGAGGTGAGAATGCAGCAAAGCAGGCTGCCTTTTGAGCTCCCATTTGCATTTTACTTAGAATAGCCTTGATTTAATCTGGTGGGTGGAATAAAGTTCTGTGCAATATTTTGATAAAGTTTCTCACATCCTAAAAAGGGGAAAATACTTAATTGTCCCTATGCCCGCATTTTTTTTTTTTTTGATACAGAGTCTTGCTCTGTCACCAGGCTGGAGTTCAGTGGCATAATCTCAGCTCCCTGCAAACTTTGCCTCCTGGGTTCAAGCGATTCTTCTGCCTCAGTCTTCCGAGTAGCTGGAACCACAGGCGCATGCCACCATGCCTGGCTAATTTTTTTTTTTTTTTTGTATTTTTAGTAGAGACAGGGATTCACCATGTTGGCCAGGATGGTCTCGATCTCTTGACCTCACGATCCTCCCACCTCGGCCTCCCAAAGTGCTGGGATTGCAGGTGTGAACCACTACGTCCAGCCTATAGCCACATTTTATAGAGTCAAATAGTAGAGCCAAAAAGCCAGGAGAGTTCCGGAGGGACAGGAGAGATGGGTGTGTGATGTCTTTGGGTACATTACTTGAACTCTACATCTCTCTCCCCACCCCCAGTCTTCAGCTTCCCCATTTGAAAAAGAAAGAGAGAGGGTAATGCTCCCATCGTGCAGTTCTTACAAGGAGCCTCATCGCATATGTGAAAGTCCCTTGGAAAGCATAGAGAATTTATTTCTAGGGTAAGCTTTCTACATGGATTCTTCTTCATTTGATACAGTCACTCAGTCACTGTATTTTCTCTTAGGATCTTTGCTTTTTGCTAGGACTCACACTCCCATGGAGTTTAAGGATTGGAAATAATCTCTGTGACAGGGTGTGGTTTCCACAACCTCCGTGAAGGAAGGAAGTATCACTTCCCCACTCATTGATCAAATGTCACCACAATTATCCTGCTGCTTGAAATAGATCTGGCATTTTTTGAGCATGCATAGCTCTGAAGTTCCTATCAAATGTGTTTCTGCTTCACTCTTTTCAGCCTCCTCTCTCTCGTGTCTTTGGTTAATATGCTTTGGGACTGAAATAACAGTCCTATTGCAGCTTTTTGTCCTGTTTTCTGCTCTTTAGTGAGTTCCAAAGAGGCTGAGTAGGAATAAGCTGCTCAGTGATTTTCTCTGCATGCAGGGAGTTTACACAGCCTGGTCTCTCTGCCCTAACTGGTATTTATGACATCTTCCACTTGTATGTAATAGATTGCATTAAAGGGCTATTTCCTCCCTTTCCCAGGCCATTAATGAAGAGATGAGTGAGTCTGCAAAGTGTCACATTTTAAAGCCTCCTTCCAGCTGAAGACTTTGCTGGTGATATCTTCTCTTTGTCGATAGTTCCTCAGTTACTTTTCAATTTGTGCAATTATAAACAGTTTATAAAGGTGACAGAGAGACTGGTTCTTGTTTTCTTGTAAACATGCCAGAAAAAGTGGAAGAACAAGAAGCAGGGTCCCTCTGAGTGAACCCTTCATCTGCCCCTTCCTGTGTGATTGTGAAAGGAACTTTGTGGTCTTTTGGTCTCAGTTTCTGAAAATGAAATTGGGAATATTGATAAAACCTTCCAGAAATTATTGTGAAGATTAAGTGCCATAAGATAATACAGAAAGCACCCTATACAAGACCCATTTTATATTAGGAACTCAATAAAAGTTGGTTCTTTCTTTTATCTCAGTAATTTGTATTGGCAGATATTGCTTGCTCCCAGCTGATAGTCTTTTGCCTTGACGATTTCAGCACATGCCAGCCCAGCTTTAAACTGCAACCATCTGCATTTTTGTGCCTAAGTGCATTCTTTTCCCAGGGAATCTCGTTTTCTGTCCAAGCATCAGGTGGTGAACCAAGAAAGTAACATCCACCAGGCAGCTGCTTTTAACCAACGAACACGGCAATTGTGTATAAACGCTCTTTCCTCAGCCTCTGGTTTGGATAACTCTGAGGTGCTTGTTCCTCGGTGGCTCCACGATTCCTTCCAGCAGGCTTGGGTTCTCGATGCCTACAGTGGCTTCATACATTTCCTTTAACCCCTGCCTTTCCTTCTCTGTTCTAACACAGTCTAAGCATATGCCTAGTTCAGTGTGAGGTGCTTACTTAAAAAAAAAAAAAGAGTCTTCCTTTGCATCTTTTTCTGTCCCTAGAAATGCTCAGGTTCAGGTCAGGTATCTATTTAGTGAGTCTCACCTACAGTAGGATTGTGAATCCATTGAAAGGTTCTAAACAACTTTCAAGGTGTCTGTTACTAAGTAAGAAAATATGACGGGCTTTTGTGCAGTGCACTAAGAAAGGTACTCATAGATCCTTTGTCATTATTAAATGTACAATCTATACAAATAAGACCTATTACAACTCTTATTTTTGCCTGGCAAAGAATTATGCCCCAAGGATAGTCTAAAAGGCAGAGAACCCGGGTGGTAAGTAGTGGGTAAGAAACAAGGGTAGACACATTCCAAGTCAGAGACCACAGAAGGGGACTGAATGCTGGTGGGGAGGGGTCATCATCAGGTGAAAATGACTAGTCCAAAAACTTAGAAGTGGTATCATCACAGCAACATGAGACGTACAGTGGAGAAGCACCACTGACCCTGGACCAGAGGAAGACAGCTGAGGAATGGTGAGATTGTGCCAGAAGGACTGCAGTGTTCACAGCTTACCTTTCAGCACAAACCAGGTTTACAACTTTATAGGAGTCCCCAATTACTGAGCACTAATTACAAAAGGGGAAGCAGAGAGCAGGCTGGCAGACAGGAGGAGAGGCAAGAGAGAGGCCTCGTCAGAATTCAGTAAAGAGGGCAGTACTTTCGCATCCAGTTCCCTGCTCAATGTGCGAGTGTCTGTGTCCTTGAATTCCATCAATTTCACACAATGGCCTCTTTTCTGTCATAGTGGCTTCACTGATGACTTAACTCCCTTCTAGACACAGGCATCACCCGTTTCTGTGCCAGCTCTTCCATTGTTGACTGACCTGGAGAGGAAAATAGGTTGCTTAATAAATAGTTCCAGAATTGGTACAATATGGCCTATTTCTAGGTCAGCTGTACCTGGTGGGGAGGGAACAATGGGCTCATGGTTAAAAGAGAATGTGACTCCCTATTGGGAGTGCCCTCCCTTAGATGGCTAATTAACCAGAGGCCTGGGAGCCCGACTCCCAGAGCCTCCTCTGAAGATGAGACAGCCGTGGTGGCACGAATGTAAGCTGTGGGGGATAACCTTGGATGTCCTGCACAGGGCAGGTCACACAAAATGCTTGAAGGAGAATGACTGATTTAGCATTTATACAGTACACAGCATTGTCCTTTCTCACTGCTGCAGACCTTTGTAGCAAGGGCTGTTTAATCCAGTAGGACATTCAATCAAGTCCTTTTGAAAGTTTCCGGCCCTACATGCTCCCTTTATCCAAGCAGGTCACTTTCCCCAGTCCCTGTTCAGGCAGCCAGAGCCGCATAATGGCAATCTCAGTGCCTTTGCCTGCGTCAGCAGCTCCCCTTGACCCTCTCGCCTTGACCCTTCCTTCGGTCCACTTCTGGACTATTTTCTTTTGACTGTACTATTTATAAAATCTACAATTTATCAAATATCTTCTATGAAATATTAAGTACACACAGGAGCTGAGAATGTGAACTCCTGAAAAAAAACAGACATGAACCTCAAGGCTGACCTTTCCTAGCCTTGTGATCTTACTCAAGTTATTTAATCTCTCTTAGTCTCAGCTGATTCATGGCTAACGTGGAGACACAAACACGTAGGTGTGAAGAAATGCTAGCTGTTATGACAGCAACTGCTACTTTTTATTACTATTATGTAATTATAATATTCAATGTGTAATTAAATATATTATGGCATATCATACATTATTATAAACAATGCTTATTTTTATAAATATAATTGTACAGCCATGTGTCACTTAATGAAGAGGATACCTTCCAAAAATGTCTTAGGTGATTTTGTCATCATGTGAACATGGAGGGTACTTACACACATCTAGATGGTATAGCCTATGTATTAGTCAAGGTTCTTTATGGGGACAGGACTAATAAAATAGATGAATATATGACATGGAGTTTATTAAGGAGAATTGACTCACGTGATCACAGGGTGAAGTCTCACAATAGGCCATCAGCAAGCTGAGGAGCAAGAAAACCAGTCTATGTCCCAAAACCTCAAAAGTACGGAAGCTGACAGTGCAGCCTTTAGTCTGTGGCTGAAGGCCCAAAAGCTCCTGGAAAACCAGCAGTGTAAGTCCAAAAGCCCAAAGCTAAAGAGCTTGGAGTCCAGCGTCCCAGTCAGGAGGCATCAAGCATGGGAAAACAATGAAGCCTGGAAGACTCAACAGTCTAATCCTTCCCTTCCATGTTCCTCTGCCTGCTTTTATCCTGGCTGCACTGGCAGCTGATTAGATGGTGCCTACCCAGATTGAGGGCAGGTGTGTCTCTCCCAGTTCACTGACTCAAGTGTTAATGTCCTTTGGTAACACCCTCAGAGACACACTGAGGAGCAATACGTTGCATCCTTCAGTCCAATCAAGTTGACACTCAGTCTCAACCATCACATCACCGACTACACATCTAGGTTCTATGACATAGACTATTGCTCCTAGGCTGCAAGCCTGTACGGCATCTTACTGTACCAAATACGGTAGGCAACTGTAACACAATGGTAAGTGTTTGTATATCTAAACATAGAAGAGGTACAGTAATAATATGACATAAAAAGTACAAAATGGTATCTTGGTATAAGGCACTTACCATGAAAAGAGTTTGCAGAACTGGGAGCTGTTCTGAGTGAGTCAGCGAGTGAGTGGTGAGTGAATGCCAAGGCCTAGGATGTTACTGTACACTACTGTAGAATTTATAAACATTGTACATTTAGGATACAATAAATTTTTTTTAAAATATTCATTTATTTAGTAATGAATTACCCTGAGTTTACTGAATGACCACTGTCATATATGCAGTCTTTCGTTGACTGAAATGTCATTATGTGGTGCATGACTATTTATACAAACATAAAGTAATGTTAAACATAAATAATATATTATGCTTAATAACTATTATGACTGCTAAGAACTACTCTTATTACCACTTTAATTTAGCATCATATTAATATTACTTTATGTAAATGCTCAATTTTATGTGGCAAATAAAATTATTCATAGTTTACAAATGGGGAAACCAAGGTTTAGGAAGACAATAATTTCCCCATGGTGACACTGTTAGTGGTCATTAGAATTAGAAATGTTGACTCCCAAATTCATATATTTTTCTCATTCTCTTCTTTTCTTTCTTATAGACCCCCTTTCATTTTCTTTTTTCTTTTTTTTTTTTTTTTTTGAGACAGAGTTTCGCTCTTGTTACCCAGGCTGGAGTGCAATGGCGCAATCTCGGCTCACCGCAACCTCCGCCCCCTGGGTTCAGGCAATTCTCCTGCCTCAGCCTCCTGAGTAGCTGGGATTACAGGCACGTGCCACCATGCCCAGCTAATTTTTTGTAATTTTTAGTAGAGACGGGGTTTCACCATGTTGACCAGGATGGTCTCGATCTCTTGACCTCGTGATCCACCCACCTCGGCCTCCCAAAGTGCTGGGATTACAGGCTTGAGCCCATATAATTCTTTTTTCTTTTCCTTAGAATCTGGAGTCTTCACACTTAGGCTACACTAAGTAGCTGAAGTCGACTAAAGTCTCCACACTCCAAATCCTTAGGGGAGAAAAAGAATTACATGGAAAGGAAAGAAGGTCCTATACAAAAGACGAAAAGAAGATAATGAAAAATATATAAATTTGGGAGTCAACATTTCTAATTCTAATGACTACTAGCAGTGTCACCATGGGGAAATTATTGTCTTCCTGACCTCAGTTTCCCCATTTGTGGAGACAGTGCTCTCACACTTGACCTTTACAGACAGGGCTTTGCAGAATTGAATTTTTTTTTTGCATTGGGTTAAATAATTTAAAACTTGGAAAAAAAAACACACAGAGTTGAAATTAGAGCTTGGATCTTGAATGTCTCTGAGTAACGAATAGCTATTGAGACTACAGTCTATGGTTGGTAGTCAGAAATTCTGTTACATTCACTGGCCAGGTAAGAAAGCCTCAGCTCCAAAACCAAGTACAGGGAGTTTTCACTCATCTTGGTTGGGGTTTTCAGTCTTGGCTCTACAAACATCTTATGCTTGGTTATCTTCGTTGTAGGGAGCTGTCTTGTTATTTTAGGATGTTAAGCAGCAGCCTGGGCCTTTTCACGCTAGATGACAGCAGCATTTTCTCCTACCCTAGTTGTGACAAGTAAGCATACCTCCATCTATTGCCAAATGTCCCATATGGGAGAAAATTATCCCAGAGGGGAATGAATCATCTAGGTTAATTGCAAGAAAACCAGGGGGAAATAGAAAGTGATTTGGGGGTCATAAAAATCTTTGGAGGAAGGAATACACAATACTTGCTTTCTTGGAAAGATTGTAAAATTCAGGATTGGAAGAATTCTGCTGGCCTCCAGCTTTGCGTCATTCTTGGCTAGATGAGCCTCACCTGGACAAGCAAATTTCTGCCTGGTAGTCAGAGTATCTTAAATGGGGACATAGGGTGTTACAGACTGAATGTGTGTGTGTGTTTTACAAAATTCGTACGGTGAAGTCTGAACTCTAGAAGTGATGATGTTTGGAGATGAGGCATTTGGAAGGTACTTGAGGCCAGAGTAGGGTCCTTATAATGGATCCTCATAATGAGATTAATGACCCTATTAGAAGAAACACCAGATCTGTCTGTCTCTCTCTCTCTTCCTCTCTATCTTTGAACCATGTGAAGATAAAACAAGAAGGCAGCTGTCTTCAAGGCAGGAAGAGCATCTTCAGGACCTGACCTTGCTGCCACTCTGATCATTGACTTCTAGCCTTCAGAACTGGGAGAAAATATCATTCTGTTTTTAAACTCCCAAGTCTATGGTACTTTTTGTTATGGCATTGGAATCAGACTTCCATAAGAAAAAATATCCACACGAAAAAGTATTATTGACTCATAATAATTTTTCTCATAGCTCAAGATTGTTAAAGAAATTAATTGAATTAAATCTGAAAACTGAAAAGTGGCATATGATATTTCAGTTTTTATTGATGGTTATTCATTTCAAGGATATTTAGCCATGAACTGCCTTTGAAGTTTGGCAAGCTCTGGTCCTATTAGACCAGCTTTGCTGAAGAGGTGATATAGTTGTAATTAGTTCATTACTGGCATGCCACAGAAGGCTGCTAAAAACTTGAAATGAGCGTATACTTAATTACTTCATTTACTCATTTCACAAAGAGTGAACAAGTCAGACTCAGAACTGCTCTCCTCATGTACCTTATATTCAGATGAACATATAAACTTGACTTACAAGATTTAAGTCATACAGGCATGGAACAGAATAAAGGGATATATTATTTTATTACAATTTTTAAATGCCCTGTTGGAGAAGTCCAGATTTCTATTACAGCACATACAAGGAAAAACTTCCTTCTTAAATAGCATCAGTAACCTTGTTTACATCTACTTTAAATAACCAAATTGGTAAGAAACCTTTCTTCATAAGTAATATGCAAATAAAACTTAGATCAGGACAAAAACTCATGATATCCTTTGATGTATTACTAGAAATTGTTAAAGGTAAACTTTTGCTTCTTACATGTACAATGCAAGAAATTAAAAGATAAATGGTCAAGTGCTTCTCTTTATGACTTTGCCAGAGCTACACAGTGCTGGCTATGAAATGGCTAGTGATGCTCAGAGAGCGAAATGAGAGCCAAAAGGAATACATATTTCAACAGACGTTTGCTCAAGAGACATTGATGAGACTCCAAGCATGTGTCAGGCATGGTGCTGGTTGGCAGAATACCTAAGTCTTACACTGCCAGAGTTTATGGCTTGCAAAGCTCTGATTCACAAACCCCTATTTCATTCACTCTCTCATTCATTTCTCATTTGTTTATCAA